TAGTCCAGGCAGGAGGTGACGAGGGCATGAGTGACCGTGTGTAACGAGTCCCGATCAAGAAAGGGACGCAACTGGCGAATCAGGCGGACCTGATAAAAAATCCTCCCGGTCATGGCCGTCAAGTGCTCTTCTAAAGACAGCCGTGAATCCAGGAGGACGCCCAAGTTGCGAGCCCTCTCCGTGGGGGCCAATGATTCGCCCCCAATAGTCAGTGATGGCGTCAACTGACTATATCGGGACATCGGAAACCACAGCCACTCGGTCTTGGATGGGTTGAGCCTGAGCCTGTTCCTCCCCATCCAGATCCGTACGGCCTCCAGGCACCGGGACATCACTTCAAGGGCATCGTTGGGGTTAGTGTAATTCAGATTTAGGGACAGGTTTGTGTAATTCGATAAAGCAAGAATTTAAACCAGATAAGCTGAAAGATCATAATACCTTAAAAGACCAGTACAGGTAGTTCTGGTCTTGTTATGACCAGTCATATAACTGTTTGAAATTACAACAGACTTGAAGTTACTTACAACCTGTCTTCCAAGTTATGACTACTGCACCACCCCTGCATTGCTTGATTCCATGCACATGGCAACTGGCTCATATCTCCAACTGGTTGCAGCCAGTGGTGGGATTCAAAATTTTTTACTACCGGTTCTGTGGGTGTGGCTTGGTAGGCATGGCTTGGTGGTCATGTGACTGGGTGGGTGTGGCTGGGTGGTCATGTGACTAGGTGGGCTTGGCCAACTCACTTTGAGGGGCACCTCGCCCGACCCGACCCTCCCAGCCATTCCTTTCATGGCCAGTTTCAACATATCTGTAGTTCTGTAAAAATGTTCACCTTTTTTTGACTTTATTATCTGCATCTACATACTATAGATATACTTTTATGGACCATTGAAAGGAGGAACTGGCTCACATGCTTTGCCCAAGAGTGTGATAGGCAGGTCACAAAACAGGCTTTTGAGGGGCTGCCATAAAGAAGGGGGCGCAATATATTTTCCAAAGAAGCAGAAGACAAAACAAGAAGCAATAGATGGAAACTGAACAAAGGAGAAACTTCCTGACAGTGAGAACAATTAATCAGTGGAACTACTTGTCTACAGACGTTCTGGGTGTTCGATCACTGGAAGTTTTTAAGAAAAGACTGGACAGCCATTTCTCAATTACTATAGGGTCCCCCAAAGTAGGGACTTCATTATTCTGTTATTCTGACACCTTTTCCAGGCCCTCCACTCAGATTTTGGCATCCTCAGTTTTCCTGCCTGAGCAGTGGGTTGGACTACAAGACCTCCAAGTCCCTTTCAACTCTGTTATTCCATTATTTCTGAGCTAACTAGCTGAGACCCTCATTGGGGCCCTATCTCTTTTGCTTCAGAATATTAAGTTAAAGAACTGCCTCTAGACATTCATTTTAATATGATTTTTAGAAACCTGCAGTTGAAAGTTCATCTCTCCTTACACTGAAGACCCAATTTCATTTGGAATTTAATCCCAAACTGATTGCCTTTTTAGCATTTCTCTTGATACTTCTCCAAAATGCAGCCCCAAGAAGCCACATCTCCCCCCCTCCCCTTCCCCCCCCCCACAATTTAAGCAAATTCTCTTGTTTTGGAGACTTCAATCTTCTGCTCAAGGAAGAAGACCTCATACAAATGCAAGTTCACAGACATCCTGGCTGTGGCTGCAAGAACTGCAGGCAGTCTTCCCCACCACACACTTCTTCCTCCCGCCACCCCGTGCAAGGTGGGAGACCCACAAGAAAGTGCCCCAGACAGTCCTCCATGACAGAGCCCTTCCCATGGAGCAAAGGAATAACTTACTGATCCATGCCAAAGGCAAGTTCCAGGGTGGCACTGGCAGTGGCAGCGGAAGGAGAGCTTCAGAGCAGCAGTAGCAGCAATCCAGGAGGGTGGACCTCAGGTCTCTGGGAAAATGTCTTGTGCAGCACAGCAAAATTTAGCAGCCATGAGCTACTGCTTTTCTCTAAGTTTCATCCAGAAAGCGCTGTGTAGAGAGAAGCAGACAGGCCAGCCCAGGAGTCAACTCGACCGGAGCTTGCTTGCAGGCTCACTCACCCACAGATATCAGGGTCATGGCGGAAAGCAGGCAGCAATGGCAGGCGGGCGAGATGAGAAGGGACTGGGCAGGGCGTGGTGGGGTGAGTGGGCGGGCGTGACATGACGTGATGTGGTGGGGCCAGCCAGAATTTTTACTACTGGTTCACCCGAATCAGACTGAACCAGCTGAATCCCACCACTGGTTGCAGCATTCCATGGTCTTATGATTGCATTCTGCAAACCTTTGCCATTTTTCAGTAAAAACTGGAAAAAAACTATATTGTATGTACTACATTTGGACTTACAATCACATGAATTGCTAAATAACCAAGTAAATCAATTAATGACTGCAGTGACTTGCTTAATGACTGTAATAAAAACATGTGTCATATGATGACTTGACTTAAAACCGCAACAACTTGTGACCAAAATTCCAGCTCAATTGTGATTATAGGTTGAGGGCGGGGTGTTGGACTAGATGGCCTACAAGGTTCCTTCCAACTCTGTTAATCTGTTAAAAGGTTCAAATCAGGGGTGAAATGTAAAATTTGTTACTACCAGTTCTGTGGGCGTGGCTTGGTGGGGGGGGTAATGTGACTGGGTGGGTGTGGCCAACTTTTTTTTTTTAACTTTTAAAAGCATTTTTTCTACAACCTTAAGAAGTTGCAGAAAAAAATGCTTTTAGAAGCCTCTGACGATCAGGCAACTCAGCTGGGATCGTCAGAGGCTTTTAAAGGCATTTTTTTTCTACAACCTCTTTGGCCGAGGAGGTTGTAGAAAAAAATGCTTTTAGAAGCCTCTGACGATCCCAGCTGAACCACGCGATCATCAGAGCCTTTTTTTTTTTACTTTTAAAAGCATTTTTTCTGCTGAAGAGGTTGTAGAAAAAATGCTTTTAAAAGTTTTTTTTAAAAAGCCTCTGATGATTGTGCAGCTCAGCTGGGCATGGGGGGGGGCAGGGATTTTTGCTACTGGTTCTCTGAACCACCTGCCGCCATCGCTACCGGATCGGGGGATCCAGTCTGAACCGGAAGCATTTCACCCCTGGTTCAAATCCATCTCTAGTGTGGACGCTCACTGGATCACTGTCTATTAGACCAACTTGCTCCATAGATTGACTGTGAGATAAACTTTAGAAGAGGCTTTTGTGCATTATGAATTAAATTTAATTCATGACCTATAAATATTAAGCTAACATTTGAAAAGCAAAATTCTATCACTAATAGAAAATCTCAATGATCTTTTCATTGTCATGTAGTTTCCAGAAAGACCTATTTGTATTAAAGATATTAATATAGTTACATAGGCTGCATTAACAAGAATAGAATCTAGATCACTTAAAGTGTTACTACCACTTTATACTGCCTTAGGAAGACCACCCTTGGAATATTGGATCCAGTTTTGGTCATCGCAATATAAAAAAGATGTTGAGACTCTAAAAAGTGCAGAGAAGAACAACAAAGATGATTAGGAGGCTGGAGGCTCAAATATATGAAGAACAGTTGCAGGAATTGGGTACTTCCAGTCTAGTGAAAAAAAGGACTAAGGGGTTATGTGCTAGCATAATACTTGAAGGGCTGCCACAAAGGAGAGGGCGTCAATCTATTTTCCAGAGCAGCAGAAGGCAAGACAAGAAACAATGGCTGGAAATAATCAAGGAAAGAAACAACCTAGAACTAAAGAAACATTTCCTAACAGTGAAAACAATAAACCAGTGGAATGGCTTGCCTTCAGAATTTGTCGGTGTTCCATCACTGGAGGTTTTAAAAAAGAAACTGGATAGCCATTTGTCTGAAATTGTATAGGGTCTCCTGCTTGAGAAGGTGATTGGGCTAGAATGCCTCCAAGGTCCCTTCCAGCTCTGTTATTCTGTTACATGTATTAACAGCAGTTTTATTTCTTGTTATAAAACAGTTTGTATTATAAAGAAACCTTATGACTTTATAAGGTCCAAGGTAACATCAACATCTGATTGGTATATAGGCAGAATCTAAATGATGGGCAGCATACAAGTTTAATAAATAAATAAGAGGAAAATGTGACATAGCTTAAGATAGCAGAATAGATGTGGTAATACATACATAAAAAAGAAAGATCTCTTGTGGAATATAGCTAATGAGGAAAAGCAATAATTGATTTCAGGTAGTATCCATGGTAGAATGAAAATTAAAGGGACTTGTCCAGACAGTTCCAGGAGTGACAATTGATTGGAAGGCAACCCATCCACCCCAATCTCTTTAAACTAGTTTTGAATCGAAATCTTCAAAGTAGTTAACTGTTGCCGTTTGAACATTGAGTTAGTCCTCTTAATCACAGATATCTGTGACTATAAGAACTAATAGAAAAATTCCCATTGATAAAGGAGACAGTAAACTGCATGTTGATTTAAACAATGTCTTAGGCTATTGGTGGGTAATAGTATAGATGACTTTTATAAAAAATAATAGCATAACTCTCCATGATTGTTTTAAACTGATAAACAAATGGAAATTATGTGAGGGGGTTTCCAATTAACCAAAATTTCTGAATTTTTATTATGAAAAGAAAAATTTCAATGAAGAGGAAGTGGGATTTCAGGTGGGAAAAATGAAGTTTTCTGAAATCAGCCTGTTTTTATTACAGTATAATAAAATAATAGTATAGCATTATAGAGAATTCATGATTTTTAAAGAAAAAGAACCTATTTTTTTAAAAAAGTAAAGATATACTTCAGCTAATCAAATTATACTTTCATTAGAACTGTGTCCTGTTTTTTTTTTTTTTTGTTAAAACTGAATTTCTGTTTGACACCCATGTACTGTTTCTGAGTGATAACAAGTCAGTTGTGTTTATCTGAAGCAGATTAAAGTATGAAGGATTATCTCTAGGACACAGAAAAAGTAGATAAAGTCGGGATTCAACCCTGAATAATGTTACTTTCGTTACTCTCATATCTTCTGTATGTAGGAAAGGCACCTTTTGTGACCTGTGTACATCAATTCAAAAGAAGGTCCCACCCTATTTGTCCCAGGTATGTACTTCTGTCCATGTTTTATGTTTCTTCTTGGATTGCTTGATTATTTTTTTAAAAAACTATTGCCTCACCTCCTCCAGCAAATCGTTGACAGAGTGGAGAAATGGATGGAATATTGGAGAGGCCAAGAATAGACAATTATTTGTGGACTGATGTCTTTTACTTACTGTGCATGCTGCTGGCCATTTAGCCCGATTTTCCTCACACATATGAGGAATTTAATGAATAAAAATATTCTCCATTTTTTAGAAGGATGATGGGAGCACTTAGGCAAGCTGAGTAAATTTTAAAAGTTCCAGAGAATCTTTTATATACCTGCTTGTAAAGGCTATTCAGAAAATAAATAGAAACTATTCTTATTCATTTCACTCTATATAAATTGACAGGAAAGGGGGCACTAAATTAAAAACAAAAAGGTTTTTTTATAGACAAAAATAGTAAAGACAAAAAAGGAGGAACAAGCTTCTGAAAAATGAAAAAACTTAGAAGAATGTTGTAATTAGTTTTGCAATTTCACCATTAAAAGTAAATGATTGCATTTGCCTGAATTGTGTCTCGTTTTTTTTTTATGCTTGCCTTAGCAGTAGCTCAAAAGCCAGATACTTCTTCATAGTATTTTTTAATGTTTCTTTCTATTCTCCTTTTTCATATAGAATTGGCAATGTTTGGAACACTAGTGATTGGAATTGGAATTGCTGGATCTGTACGAATCAGAGATTTGCTAAATCCTTTGCCTTCCAGTCCTGTTGAGAATCTTAAATTATTGGGATTTGTTTCTAGGTGAGAGGGCCTCTTTATTTAATTTAACAAGATACATTGTAGTCAGATAAATGTATGTCTTGTCTTGACTATGGAGTCCCATCGTTTTTAAATCCTATGGCTTTATTCTCATTTCCTAGTTGAAATTATAAAATCCATTTCAGAATCAGAATGTAATGGCACAATTGAATGAGTTACATGGCAAAACACAGAAATAGTTGTTAAGCAATATGATTCATTTAATGCAAAGGAGTGCCTGAATTATCTTCTATATATATATATATATATATATATATATATATTTTAACAGTTTGAAGTGCTATTTTATTAGAAACCATAAATCTTTAATAGATATATTTATATATATAAAACAATCACAAGCATAAGAATTCTCGGTGGGAAGATGCAAACCATGGGCTACTTGGAAGAGCCCTTGAAGGAGCATCTTGATTCCGGGGTGGTGGGAAAGAGGATAAGGTTATTTTTAAAAAATTATTTTTACACAGTTCCCGTCCAATGCCTTCCGACATAAAACCCCCCAGCCTCCCCTGAAGTACTCCCTTCTTAGACTCTCATCACAGGTCGTTTTTAATTGTCTTCTATATTTATATCACCATTGAGAACATTTCTGCTAGAAGTCACAAATCCTGTTTTTCCATACAAATATTTGTAATATATTTCTCATTGAATGAGGACAATTGTATTTTTCAGTTATTAAGCTAATTTACTCCAAATATTGGAGAATAACAGTATGCAAACAAAATCAAATTCACAACCTTGTTTTAAATTTGGAAACATTGCTCTGGCTTTCAGATAGGCTGTTTGAACCGTTCTATACTTTTTCAATGTTGTAATACCCTTTTATAAGGTCAAAACATTTTCAAAAATGTTGAAATAATCCATTTCAAATCCAGAGCAACTTTTTTTCAAACTTGAAGCAATTGTTTTGAATTTAAGTTGTTAGAAACTTTATTCCTTGTTAATATTTTAATCTCATACAGTGTATGGGTCAGAACAGGATCTTGAAATTGAGATTAGTAGGCCAAAGAAGAGAAGCATTAATTCACCATATTATCAGGGTCCAACTGCAAAGTTAACATGCAAAGTTAACAATCCATTGAAACCATACTTGAAAAACAACTTCAGTTTGGATTTTCTAGATCTGACATTAAGATGTTAATACTTCTTCTCCTGCTTTTTTATAATCTGGGAATTCTCAGGGAAGTCTTTCTCAGAGTTGCTTTCTTTTTTTTGCTAAAACTAGAAGATCTCTAGGTGATGTTTATCAAGTCAAGCAAATTAGTCTGCAAGAAGCTCTAGACAATCCGGAGGTTCATGCTGCCATCATCAGTACAGATAACCAAAATCACAATGAGAGTGTAAGGTATTGCCTTTTGAATTCTTAATATCAAATTGCCATTAGAATGTTCATTGATCAGATGCCATTCTAAATAGCAAGATAGCCAAGGGGGAGATCAAAATTTAAAAAATCACAGAAATAATATCAACAGGCCAACTGTTAAAGAGCAGCAAATTGTTGTTTATTTGCACATTTTTTACTACTTTCCAGAGAATCTGGAATCTTTTATAGCTTTCAAATAGTTACTGTCTATTAACATAGTTGACAATTAGTATCCATTAAAAGCTTAAAATAGATTTAAAATGAAAAATACTTGGGTCGGGTTGCTTTATTATTTGGATATAGATGTATGTGCATGTGCATGCATGTTTTTTTTAATCTTATTTTCATTATCTGCGAGGCATACAGTTTTTTTATCTACTGGAAAACAGAATAGAAGCCACTAACATTTTCTGTATTATCAAAGTGATGATAATTTAAATTGATAATTAGGCATCCATCAGTTACATTTTAGAACCAAATTCTGAAAAAAATATTAAGCTTTACATTCAGATGCAAATCAAATATCATAATATTTAAATTGTATCTTTTCCCAGCTTTCAAAATTATGAAAGTGAGAAAAGTAGCAGAATAAATATACATGCATCTTATTGGGAACTGCTTTCATTATCTACATATATATATATAGTATATAATATGTACTACACATATTATAAAGTAATAAAGTGTCTAGTATCTATAGTTGTGGCTTTAAATGTTTACTTAGAGGAAGGCCAAAATGTGCTTTATTTATGATAGTTTTCCAAGGCTGCTGATAATAATTGGAGGATATCTATATACTGCTTTCATCTTCCTAAGGGAAGTATAAAATATAAAATTCTTTCTTTTCTATAAGGAAGTTCCTAGAGGCTGGCAAGCATGTCCTTGTTGAGTACCCTTTGGCGTTGTCTGCAAAAATAGCTCATGAACTTTGGGAGTTGGCAGAGCTGAAAGGTAATATATAATACAGAATACACATCTATTGTTTAAATGTTGATACACAAGTTATTGTTTTCCATTTCTTCTTCCCTCTTCTGTCAAAGTCAGAATTGTTTAAGATAGAACTTTAACTAGTAGGTAGCATCCTAAGTAATGTTATCCATTTAGTACCTAAGCATCTATACCCTTAATGGATTCAGTTCTGTTCATATACTGAATAGGGATATTGAGTTACTGAGTGAATCGCAGGATTCTAATCTAATTTTTCATTTTGGAATTGAGGACTTTGTAATGTAGAGTGTAGAAGAGCCAATTTGGTGAGTGGTTAAGACATGAGTTTAGAAACTGGGAGACCATGAATTGTAGTCCTGCCTTAGGCACAAAGCCAGCTGGGTGGTTTTGGATCAGTCACTTTCTCACAGCTGAAGGAAGGGAGCAATGGCAAATCACATCTGAAAAAACCTTGCCTAGACAACTTCAGGGATTTATTAACTCAGTCTCTGAGAATTTGACATGATTGAATGGAAGAAAAAGAAATTGTGTATACATTCTAGAACAGTACAATCATAATTCTATTTGATTCTTTATGAATAGTTGAATAAAAATGAGAATGTTGCTTTTCTTCTCTCAGCATAGCATCTTGATGCAGGACAACAGAATCCATAGCTAGTTCCTGCCTCTTTCTTAAAAGTTATTAGTCCCTTATCTAAAGAGTTATGGCTTTCACAACTGGGAGAGAAGAAATTAAAAATATATGATTTCTTTCATACCTTCTATAATACAATCTATGTACTGATAACTCTTCTTTTGGGATGTTCTGCTGCTCTTAAATATTAATTGCTTTGTGATCATAACACGTAACCTGTCCAAATATAAATTGGCTCAATGGCAGGCAAGATCCTCCATGTGGAACATATTGAACTACTAACAGAGGAATATAAGCAACTGAAGAAAGAGGTATCAGGAAAGGAGCTTGTGAAGGGAACATTACATTTCACAGGTTAGTTGTTAGAGATCCTTTGATTTCATGTGTCTTTGATGAGTTACCCTGATTTGAAAAATATTTGTATATGTAGGTTTGTGTCATGAATGGATTGAGTCATTTCATACTAGAGGTAGAAAAAGAAGTGGTTGGAAGATATTTTGAAAAGTGTTTATTGTGAACATAAATAAAATTGCAGTTCAGCCCTTTGAGGATAACTATACCAAAGGGTATAACTATGAAAGAATAAATATTTACAAGGAGAACAGTATGAGCCTCTGTATTCCTCAATTATAGCTTAAAGTATTACAGTTCAATCTGCCACTTGTATGTGTAGATCAGGTCTCATACTTTCTAATTATTTTTAAGTTCTGTCTGAAGATATTTTAAAATCTTCTCTTTTCCAGCTTTTAAGTTTTCTTTATTATTCCTAAAGGGGGTCCATTGGATGAAAGATATTCAGGATTCCCATCTTTCAGTGGCATTGCTCGCCTCACATGGTTGGTGGATCTTTTTGGAGATCTCACTGTCACTTCTGCCACAAGAGAACAAGAACAAGAAAAAAACTACTTCAGAATGACAGTACATTTTCAGACTGCAAACAAAAGGTTGGTTTTCTTAAGCACTAGAAATGTTCATTAATCAAAATAATTTTATTCCTGCTAATAGTGATACATAATTAGAGAAACAATGTTAATTCATCTATACATTCATTCATTTGACTTTATTAGCAGCCAAACTCTAATAGACTCTGAAATTAAAGCCAGATCATTTTGCTACTAGTCAATAGTAAATAATGTTGCTTTTTGAATAAAATTTATCTTTCATTATGGAAACTAAGATTGTAGTTTTTTCCCACTAGTCAGATTCTTTTTTTTTTTATTGAAAAAGTTTTTCAAATACAAATTTCCCCCCCTTTTCCCCCCCCTCCTCCCTAACCCCCCCTCCCTCCCCTCCCCCTGTGGCTTCTTCATAATAAAACCCAAATTCATAACAGATTATATAATACTTTACCATCCCCTTACTCCATCCCCCTATGCTGACCCTTTCTTTCTAATAATATTATCATATCCCCCTTATACTATACGTTTCAAAATGACATTCTACTATAACATTATATAATAACTCCTAATTTAGCATAATAATATTATTATATCTCCCAGTTTAGCGATTTCTGCTCATAATCTACCCTTTTTCTACCCCCCGATACATATATCTCTTAAATCAAATCTTTTATGTATATTAATATAACATTTCAAAGCAACCTTCCGCTATAAAACTATATAATAAATCCTAATTTAACATTTATTCAATTCATAGTCTCCATTTCCTTCACCCCCCTCATTATATCTCTTAACTCAAATCTTTTACATATATTCATATCTAAACATAATATGTTTTCTTAAACTAAACAATCAATAAACTAACCTGTCTCCACCCACTTTCCTACAAGACTACCATACTTAATAATTCATAATATCTTTATTCTTCTGTCCACACCACTAAAAAATATTCCCTTATGTAAATAAAATCCTCTTAAAAAGACTTTAATCTTGTAATCCATATGATATCTTCTGTAATGTCTTTCAGCTGGATTGTAAACTCCATCACCCATGTTAGGGTAACATCACATCCTAATTCCAACAGTATGTTCGGTATCTTCAATTACCATCTGCCCCCATCAATAGCAAATATCTTCATAAAAAAAAAAAAAAAAAACCACCCGAGTGACTTTATATTTGTATTCCATATAGTGTCTGTAAAGGTGTCTTTTATCCAAATTATTAATTCCAACCACCGTAATAGGGTAACAGCCAGATCATCTGCGTGCCCCAATTCCATAACTCTCTCGCCTTGTAGCTCAGCATAAACATAGTATATTTATCAAAGAATCAAAAAAAAAAAAAAGATAGTTCCAATCATTTCAGTTTAAGGCCCTTTTCACATCCCAAAAGTACAGCACTGCAGAAGTCTGTCACTCTCCTCAGGATAATATAAACCAATACTTCGCCTCAACTATCTTTTCATGTATTCAGTCATCTCTTAAATAACTGGCATTACACTGTTGTTTGGTTTAAAAGTTTTTGTTTTTGTATGACCTGCTTCTTCTTTTCTTAACTTTCTTGACTTTTTGTGGGTTAGATTGGTTTTCATGCTGATCTATAACTTGATCTTGTTGGTTTTGCTTTTGTGGCTTAAATCTCCATTCTGGTTCTATGAGTTTTATATCAACTGATTGATTTCCATGCTGGTCTGTAACTTGATAAGTCATCACTTTAGAATCCAGAGCCGCCTCTCTTGTATTTATAAATAGTCCAGCTGAGACCTCTGAAGGAGAATTCAGAAGCAGCTCATCTACAAGGACCTCTGTAACTTGTTGTTTTTCCATTACTTCCACCTCCTTTTGCTTATCTTGAATTTCTATCTCTTGTTGATTTTGCTTTTGGAGAACCTTGTAGTAAAATTCTTCCGCTTTTTCAACAGTATTTAGCTGATATCTTTCTCCTTGATATCTCAATATTATACCAACTGGAAGGTCCCACCTGAATGGGATATTTTGTTTCTTAAGCTCAGTCACCAAAAATCCAAATTTCTTTCTATCTTTTAGAATCTTAGGTGGCAACTCTTTATATATCCAGATCTTTCTTCCATACAATTGTAGAGTAGAATTAAAAGATTTTTGCACAATATCATTTCTTATTTCTTTGTCTGTAAAGTAAATCACCACATCTCTAGGCAATTGCCTTTGCTTTGCAATCCAAGAATTTACTCTATAAGCCTTGTCAATCTTACAAGATACCTCCTCAGGATGAACCTTTAAAATCCCGGCCAGAACTTGAGCAGATATTTTTCTTAAATCATCTCTATTATTTTCCTGTAACCCTCTCATTCTAACCGCAAATTCCGTGAGCCTGTATTTCATCATGGTAATTTCTTTTTCAATCCCTTGCTTTATATCTTCTGCATTGTAAGTCTCGTGAGCAGCTTCCTTTTTAGACTTTACTTCTAAGCTATTGTCTTGAATATTTGGCAAATCATTTTCAATTATTTGTATTTTATTGTCCAAATTATTAATCTTATCATCAACTTCCTCCATTTTGGACTCTAATAACTTGATATTTGTATCCATCTTTATAACAATTTCTGAAAAAGCATTAGTCACTGTTACAATCTTTCATTGCAAATTATCATACTTTAGTTGTATCATTTCTTTAATTTCTTGCCTAAATTTTTCAAGTTTCTGGTTCACAGTCTCGTGATATCTTGCCATTTCCTCCTGGACAAATTCTTTTAAATTAAATCCATTCTGCTGAGTCTGTAAGCTCAGAGCTTGTTCACATAATTGTAAATGGGGGAACACCCCCCCCACTGCTTGTTTGTCAGGCTTTATTGGTTTTAACGCCATCCTGCCACACAAACTCTTTTTAAAGAAAGAAAACTTTTCCCCAAGCAAGATCAAGTACAAATCTCCAAGAAAAAAGAAACTTAAAATAGATATTTTTCTTCCAGATTCTAGCCAGCACTGTTTATTCCGCTACTTTGTAGCTTGTTACGGAAGGACTTTTACTTTCGGCTTTCTTCTTCTTCTCAAGCCTCAGCAGTCGCCATTTTAAACTTTTTTTCCCTTCACTCTGAAACGCTTGTAAAATCATTAAAAATACTAGTCAGATTCTTGATTCTTGATGTTTTCCTTAACAGCATATGATCTGTTTCTTAAATTTTCCACTTTTGTTCTACTTGATTTATTCAATGCTCTTCCATTTGTGCTTCAGGACATTTAGTCCTTGACTTAATATTAGTTCTTGAGTTAATACTATGATTATTGACTGCTAAGAAATAGAAGCAGCACTTAATTTAAATATGCTGCCTAATATTCTACCATAGTTTCACTGACTTAACCATAAAATGTTTATGGACAAGGGCCAAATTGCCACTTCAGTAGTCAGTTTAACTGAACCTGAGGAGCAGGATCTGTAGCTGAATTCCTGAAAGGGTACTTTTAAAGCCAAGCATTATTGATCTGCAAAAAGAAAAAATAAGAATAGAAAATAAGAATAAGAATAAAGAAAAAAAAACAAATTTATAAAGAAATTATTTCTCCCTTTATCACAAGTATAAACAATTTTAGTGACTTATCACCTTCTCTTAAAATAAAACAAATGATTATTTTTTTCTATATCCCGTCTCTTTTCTATAAACAAATACTTAAAGCCTTGTTGTTAAATTCTGATCAACAAAGTTCTATCAAGAATTATCAGCGATGATAACACGCTTATTTTAGTCTTGATCAAATAAATCAATGTTACACTACTTGCTTTTACTTTTAACAATCTTAATCTTTAGTTCCTTCAAATAATGCCTTAGAGCTTGATTTCTTTTCATTTTTTCTTTGTCCGTCTCACCCCTCCAGTGTTTATTTCAAAAACAATTGTATTTAAATCCTTAAACTTATATTTAAAACTTCTTTCACTAAGGATTCAAGAAAACTGATCCATATTTTCAAATGTGTTAATCAAATATTTCCTAATAGTTGAAAAGTAGTTAACCAATTTTTGAAAGGATTAGTAAAGGAAGTATGGAAGTTGAATGTCCTCTTGAAGGCCTAGACCATGGCTTGAGCTAGATAGCTATTCCCTCAACACCCATTGCTATAAATCCGCTGAAGACAGTTATCTTTCAATCTCCTCACAAGGTTCAACAGTCTGGAGCACATTTTGACAATCTCAAGTCCTCTCCTTTTCCAACCGGTCTACTGTTCATTCCATCACAGTCTTCAGTTCACCATTTGTCTCCTGGTAGTCACACTAAGAATGGCATTTTGAAGAGGGGGTGAAACACTGCCTTTTTCAAAGCTGGCAGAATTATCCTCTCCCATTAGGTGACATTTTATCACAGTTAGATCCAACCATGTGCTTAGTTTGACTTTGGGAAGGGGAAGAGAATAGATAGAAAGGTGAGACAGAGAAAAATAATTTTTAAGTCCTCGGAAGAAAAAGTATGAGAAAGAAACTCAAAGCAAATATACCTTCATTGTATTAGAAATATGAATATGGCTCTGACAGGTTTCCAAAATTTTATTAATGCCCCAACCATATTATAATACACTCCAAAATTCTTAGAAACTATCATGTCATTATTTTGACTGTCATTAAAGGCTGACAGCAATTATGATCACACTGGATATCTCACGACTCACCTGCTAGCTTTCTTCTTTTCCAGTTTCCAGGCAATATTGTCTGGTGATTGAGAATGCCTGGTTTTCAAACAGCTCAAAATCTATTGTCCCTAAATTTCTTTGATAATCTCATCTATATAAAAGAGCTTCTTCCTGATGGATTTTTTTCCCCTATATTTTTTTGCCTTTTAGTATTTACTGATTGGGTTCATACAACATACTAGTAACTCTGAGCCCAGATTAACAGAACATAGTTACTGTATTCACATAGAATGCTATGTCCAATCAATGCAACTATATTATGGCTTAAATTGATTCCTTTATTCATTCAGTTTGATAGAACAGTGATTGAGATCTCACAAGATCCTGAACAAAAAATATAGAATCCTATTTTAGCCTGCTCTAGTGAGATGTGTAGTGAGATCCATCTCACAGAGAAAGAATTAGCAGACTGACACAGAATATCTGATCTTCAACATTCTGTACATCTATTCTGAGGTTACTCCCATTGAACTCATTGAGGATAACCTTTTGGAGTAGGATTTCATCTGAAGTTCAATTTTATAGATATAATTTTATTAATTTATTAAAATACAAAATAGAAAGAAAAATGAAAATAATGGGAAAGTATGACAGGATAAGGGAAGAGAAAGTATAAAGTAAAAGGGGGAAGGAAAAACAGAATTGAGTTCTGACTCTTTTTAACACAGTAGAATAAGGTAATAACATACAACCTATGGTAGTACAATAGTAATATGTACTAGCCATTTCTGTAACAACAAATTTAATTGTCAAAACCCAAAATTAAAGTTTCATTTTTCATTTCATTTTTTTCCCACATCAAGCACAAAATCCAGAAGCAGTTTCCAAGTAGAAACGAAATTACAAATAGAATACAAAATTACTTGTATTATTTTTTTAATTAAAGCAGTCAATTTAGCCATCTTTCCTAACTCCATCACTAACTCCATCAGCTTTTGCAGCCAATCATTCTTTGTTGGAATGAAAGTATCATTTCATTTTTGTCAATTTAGCATTCTTGCTGCTGTCAGCATATATACATCAAAGTTCCTTTTTTTTCAAGTTCTTTGTTGATTAGGCTTAAAGGAAAAGTCTCAAGTTTTATCTTGATATTCACTTTCAGAATCTTCTGTATTAAGATATGAATCCTACTCCAATATTTCTTTGCTTTGTTGCAGGTCCACCATAGATGGTAAAAAGTTCCTTCTTTATATTTATATTTCCAATATACATTTGAGGTAGCCTTATATATTTTAAAAAAATTATCTGGTGTTAAATACCAATAGCATATCATGTTATATAAAAAAAATATTTTATCTGAAATTCATTATAAAAAACCAAGAGCTGTTAGATCTAGACTTGAAAATCTAGCACTGGAACTTTGCCAGTTGTGACTTGACTTAATTTTGTAATAATTCTGCAAACCTAAAGAGTGAAAAAAATAATTGAGAGTATAAAACACACCCAAATTTTCAGCCTCTTTTAGGGGGGTGGGGAAAATGTATCTTATACTCAGAAAAATACGATATATATATATATATATTACTGACTGTTAAAAAAAATCAAGAGACACTTCTTCCTTTCCTTTCTTTTCCTTTCTTTTCCTTTCGTTTCCTCCTCTCCTGTTTTCATTTTTCTTCAGTTATATTATTTTTCTTTCTTTTCCTTATTTTTTCTCTTTCAAAATTTGTACGGTTTTTACTCTTTTAAAATATTTATTTAATAAAATATCTATAAGAATGTCTTTGGAGAAGCGTAAACTTTACAATGTGTTTTAAAAGAGGCATCACATGTAAATTAATATTCCCACAAATATAAGGAATCAGAAATGGCCCACGAAATATTCATGAAATGTCATCATAGGGTATTTTGCTATACTTTGTCATAAACCTACTGTGATGTGATGTCCCTTTTTCAAAATGTATGTTATCATTGTGCATTATTTTCTCTATTTCCTAATAAAATATTCACAAGCTATCAAGCTTTCAAACGAGTTCACAAAAATAGATTGCAATCCCAACATCGCTTGATTCCAATATACAAAAATATAGGAATGTGACTGTTGTATTGTATTTTTCAAACTGCACTAGTAGATTCTATGTCATTTCTTTTTATCTCCTTTCTGGCCACCGGGTTCCAACTACTCAAGCTCACTAATCTCTGTGACATGATTTTATGATTTTGATTTTAGCTTGAGCAACAGTGGCCAGCGCATGACTCCCACTGACATAACTGTACCAATTTGGTAATAACTGTTTTAAAATCAGTAATTCATAGAACATGTTCAGTATACATTACTTGGCAAATGCATTATGCAGTATACTTCTATCCATTCAAGGCTATAATACCTGAATCTTTTTTCTCCCCTGCTATTATCAAAACGTTAGTTGATGCAAGGAGAGTCTATTTCTATTGAAAGTACACAAGCAAAGCACACAACTAAACATAAACAAACCAAGCAACGAATCTCTACTGCTAGATGACAATTATTTACATAAAGTTCAAAAGCTTGGACTTTAATGACAATTTTGCCATCTTTGTGACATCTTTTAAACAATTCTTTGGAAAGTTTGATTTCTTCCTTTTAAAAAAAGTCCTTCTGCTCTATCTAAGGCCTCTGACTTGGATTGAAGAAAGGGCTCCAGGGATGAAACGAGATAAGAAGATCAACTTCTGTTTCAAAAGTGGGTGCTTGGAATGTCTCCCTGAGGCTCCATGTTCACCAGTTGGCCTTTTCATGCAAGACCTGATTATCTTTGCCAAAAAACTTTTGGGACAGATCCCCAAAGAGGAACTGACAGCTGAGAAAAGGCGGATTCTGCTGTGTCTCAGTCTTGCTGAGGAGATTCAAATGCACTGTGAACGACCATCAAAATTTTACTCTTGAAAATGTGTGAAACTATAGGATTCACCATTTTAAACTGTTTCTTGCACTCCCTTTTTAAAATGTTCTTCTTCTAATGTGCCAGCTTCTCTATTCTATTAAGCAATATTTTTCTAACAAAGCCAAGTTGAATTTAATCTGGCAACAAGGGGTATATAGGTACTGTCTTGCCTTACTGCAAAACAACTTTCTAATCAAAAACTAGTAAACAAACTGCCTGCATGTCTTCTAGAAGTGCAATAGCACAATATTTTTCACAATATTTATTGTGAGAAAATAATCTTTCTCAGCAACAAAGTATTTCTCTGAAACACTTTAAATTCTATATTTAAGCCTTTATGTATATTATTCAAATGTTTACACAGACATTAATTAGTGTGCTGAACACCTTTAAGTTTATTTTTGGCCTCTGTTCAGTCTAAGTTGCTCTTTAACCTCAGTTGCACAAAACATTGAAAATAGTGCCCTTTCTTATGTTCATCTCTAATGTTTAGCCCAAGACTACAACTTAGCTTGTACAGGATAGAAACCTGTACTGAAAGGATAGCAAGTGAAGGAAAATTTCTGGATGGGAAGGTGGTTGTTGCTGCTGCTGTTGTTGTTGTTGTTCTTTTTGATTTGGCAACTCTTTATATATCATACTGACCTGGTTTAAACATAATGTTGTGTGAATTATGAATTAGTCAATAAACATTATTTTAAAAATGTGTCTTAGTATAATACATGACCAACCCATTGAGCTTTACCTTGAGAATCCAAAATTCCTATGATTGTAACTCATAATTACAATCCATTTTTTTCAGAGTACATTTATTTATGAAATGATGACGTTCGCTTCAGGTTTGACATTGTGCAAAAAAAAATTAGAGAATTACACTAAGTATGACTTATACTAAAGTAACAACTGAGATGTCCACACGTTGATATAGCCCTTTTATTCCTGCGATTCATTCTGCCTGAGTTTGAGACAGATCATAATTTTTATTGGAAATGAAGAAATTAATAGTTATGTCACTATCTGAAGTTTGCTATATCTATAGCAATAGATATAGTACTTAGACTTATATACTGCTTCACAGTGCTTTACAGTCCTATCTGAGCTTTGGTTTGGTTTAGTTACCAAAACCAAAAAGCTAACTGTATTTCTATTAGGCCCAATGTTTAATAGTCTTTATTATCTTTGCTTTTTCCCCATTTTGATCAATAATTCATTTTTCTTTTAAAAAATCAAGTATGTATACAGTAGTAGCCAAAATTGTGGAAACCTTTTGGGAAAAATGTATTTTCTAAAACTAGCTAATAAATACCACTTTTGGGGGGGGAATAGTACCATAAAATTATATATCAATGGAAAGTTAATTTAGTCAAGAATGTAATGCAATAACTTTTATGAACGATTTGCTATTAGAATAGCAGTTACAGTATAAAGAAGAAAAGTGAAACATGTAGAAAAAATGAGATATACAAAAATTATCACCATAGAAAAAGCGAGATATACAACAATTATTACGTCAGTTAATACTTAGTTCGGTAACCTTTAGCATGAATTACGGCCTTACAACATCTTCCCATGGAGTGAACCAAGTCTTTTAGTTCTGCAGCTGTTATCATGTGAAACCAAGATTGAATGATGGCTTCTATTAACTGGGTTTTATTGCTGGGTTGCTTCTGACTAACAAGTTTCTTTAGTCGGCTCCATAGATTTTCAATTGGGGTCTGGGCTATTCCCAGGCCTTCCCAGCAGTGAAATATGATTAACTTGAAACTCCCCCCCTCAAAAAAAAGTGGTGTTATTTACCAGAAATACACTTTTCCCAAAAGGTTTCCACAATTTTGGCCACTACTGTATATGAAATGCTCTATGTTTTAATCCACTTCAATATAATCATTAAAAAAAAAATGTGAATCTCTAAAGATAGCTTACTAACAGATTTTGCCTTATTAGGTTCATCCTGTATCAGATTTAATCTGAAGGTTTACTTAGTGAAGAATATAGGATCAATGGATTTCCATATAAATTGGATTTTTATGTCTGTCTGGGACTTTCATTGTCAGCAGTAATGATCTCCTCCTCCTCGTAATAAAATTATTCTGTAAGAATCAGACAGACCTTATTAAAAGTCATAATGTGTAATTACTTTAGATCACCTCAGGTTAAACTAGAGCAGGGGTAAGTAATTAGATAGCAAACTGAACATTGCATTTTCATTGTCTCCTGTCAGAATGTCTTTGGCAAAGCAGTGTCATTTCCTCTTGTTTTCATATATCTGGGAATGGTTATAATTTCTTGCTCCACCTAGTAATTCGGCAATAATTATTTTTGTTTTTATGATAGTTTCTCAATACATTTTCCAATCTGATACTCTACAAATTAGTTAGGTCTGTAATTCCCAAAATTTCCAACCAGCATAGAGAAAAGTTCATATCAACATATATAGAAGGTGCATGTTTGAAGAAGGCTAATCAAGAAAATGTACTCCTGCAAAAAGGCTTTTGTTTTCTATGACCATAATGTTCATTTTGATAAATAATTTTAGAGGGGGGTACTCATTTATATGAACTCTAAACATAGGTTAAATCGACAAAAGAAAAGATTGGAAATGGAAGCAGAGATAAAGAAGAAAGAACAGTTACTTATAAAGAATCCAACAGATGAAAGAATACGAGGAGCTATAAAACTTTTGAAAGATCAATTTCATATGCTTATGGTGGAACAAACAGCAATTAACTTACAATTTGCGAAACAATACATTTTGCAACGCTAATAAACTGGGCAGATGGCTGGCTTACACATCGAGGAAGCGTCAGAGTACACGGGTCATTGGTAGTATTGAGATTGGAGGGAAGGAAATTTTTCAACAAAAATTAATCAAAGAAGCTTTCTTAGATTACTATACCAAATTATATGCGAAAGATGATATAAAGACTGGACTTATAGATAAATATTTAGAAGAAAAAAGAGTTATAAAAATTTCTAGAGATCAAAAGGAAAGAATGAGTCAACCAATTATAGCTGAGGAGATTATTGCCGCAATTAAGCAATTGAAAACAGCTAAAGCACCAGGGACGGACGGTTTAACAGCCGTGTACTATAAAACTTTACAAGCAGAAATGATTGAACATCTCAAAGATTTATTTTGCAGTATGCAACAAGGGAGTAAAATACCCCCTTCATGGAAAGCAGCTTATTTTTCATTGATACCGAAAGAGCAAGCAAGTCCTAAAAAACCTGAGAATTATAGACCAATATCTCTTCTGAACAATGATTACAAAATTTTTGCAAAAGTATTAGCCAACATTAATGCCAGTTATTCAAGAGGTGATTCATCATGACCAAGCAGGATTTATAGAAGGCAGATACATGAAGGATAATGTGAGACAAATAATAGACTTATTGGACTATCTTGAGAAGAATAAACAGATATCTGTAGTGCTGGTGTTTTTGGATGCGGAGAAGGCCTTTGATAGAGTGGATTGGAATTTTCTGCTAAAGACTTTGAGAAAAATGGACTTTGGGGATCAGTTTATACAGGCAGTTTCAGCAATTTATCAACAACAAACGGCACAAATTATTATTAATGGAAGTTTGACTACAAATTTTAGTATTGAAAAAGGAACAAGACAAGGATGTCCGCTATCCCCATTGTTATTTATTTTAACATTAGAAGTCTTGTTGAATACAATACGGGACTCGAACTCATTATATGGCATAGCTATTAGGCATGAGGATTATAGGACCAGGGCATTTGCAGATGATCTGGTTATTACCCTAACACAGCCGATGGAATCAATAATTCAGATGAAAGACATTATAAAAGAATATGGCATGATATCAGGATTTAGACTGAACCAGAAAAAGACTAAGATGAGTGTCAAAAACATGACACTATTGAGGAATGGACTTTGAAGATGGCCAGCTTTGCAGAGATGGCGAAGATTTCAGCATATTTAAAAGATCGAACTCAAGAGACTTATGTATGGGAGTGGAAAAAGTGGATAGATTATGTGCAGAATAAATATCAAACTAGGAAATATCAGATAGCTTTTAGCTGAATGAATGTATTATGTAGGGATAAATTAATTGAGTTTTAGGAAGGTATAAGTGGTATATAGGGGGTGGAGGGGTTTAAGTTTTATAAAATGTATTTTTGATTAGGATTTTATTTTGTGGAAGTCCTGGGGGGAAAAGGGGAGGGTTAGGGAGGGTTTGGGGGGGAAACTGGGAAGAAAATGTATTTGTAAAACTTTTTAAATAAAAATAATAATAATAATAATAATTTTAGAGGGGGTATAGTTTACAGCAGTGGTTCCCAACCTTTGTGGCTTGGCGGCCTGGCTAGGGGAGAGGGGAACTGGGCCGTGTGAGTGACGGGCCAGCGTGCATGCGCACAGCTGAACTCATGCAAGCAGTAGGCCAGCACACATGTGCACACAGCTCGACTGCAAGTATATAGTGTATATATATTGGAAGAAACAAAATGTGGGATAAGAGGATAGAATAGAAATGCTGAAATGAAATTGTCTGGATTCCTGAGTAAGAATGTTCATAGATCAACATTCATTTGTAAAGATACATTTATTTACTGTATTTTTCGGTCTATAACAGCGGTCACCAACTGGTGGTCCGTGGACCACTGGTGGTCCTTGAGAAAATTTTGGTGGTCCTCAGAAAAATTATTTGCATTTTTTATATTGCACTAAATCAGGGGTCCTCAATCTACAGCCTCTAGGACAAATACATGCAATGAATGTTTGTGTTGCTGCAGAGTCTCCCCTTTCAGGGTCTTTTTGTGTGGGTTGGAGGGGGACAGAAATTCTGATCTGCTTCAGCCTCCTGGTGCAGGGCTTTCAGTGAAGACTGGAGGGAAGTGCTGGTGGTGGTGAAGAGCCAGAGGGACTGGCTGACCATCTCAGCCCACTGAGCCTCCAGGCACCAGTACCTGGCCTTGCACTCCCGCAGGTCTTCCCTCTGCTTAGAAAGCCTATGCTCGTAGTCCTTAGTGAGCTGCTTCTGCTGAGCCTCCTTCTTGGCCAATTTGAACTGAGCTGTTTTGCCAATTCTTTTTCATGGTGGCTGCTTAGCTCCAACAACTGCTTCCTGTTGGGGCCCTAAGGAGCCCGGGCAGGCAGGCGAGGAGTGGCTGGGAGGGGAGGGGCAAGTAGAGAATGGTGAGGCACGCCTCGATGTGAGTGACATTGAGTTGGCCATGCCTACCCAGTCACATGACCACCTAGCTGCAGCCACCCAGCCGGTCATTAGGCAGATCATATTAGTGGTCCGCGGGTATTAAAATTATGAATTTAGTGGTCCCTGAGGTCCGAAAGGTTGGGGACCCCTGGTCTATAAGATGCTCTGGACCACATTAGCTTTAGAGGAGGAAAACAAGGGGAAAAAAATCTGCCTCTGCCTCTCAGCATCCATCTGGTATTCATCTGGTTAGCATCCTTGCAGTAAACAGAAACAGCCTGATCAGCTTCGGCATGCTATCAAAGCCCCAGAACATAGCTTGTCAGGGCTCCTCTCCATTGCGCCCACCACTGGTCAGCTGAGCGACAGCTGGATCCTGGCCTCCCATAGCCCCGCCGATCAGTGGGCTGGCCGACCAGAATCACTGCCATTGCTGCCTCCTCCATGTCTGCTGCCTCCACCTCTCACCATGGAGCCTTTGCTGCCAAGCAGCTGATTGATGGTTGGATTGGCCATCTG